GTGAAGCTCAGCAGCACCAAGATCCACGTCTTGTACGAAGTCTCGTCTCTGCTGGGGTTGTTTGGAAGCCAGGATATAACAGTGCCCCCAGCCTGCGGTAATCTTGGGAAAATTCTCTACGACTCCCACCTGACCGGGAACCATCCTTCAATGGCAGAAGAGGTACAGCAAGTGCAACAGCCTCCGACTCACCGCTTCGTTCAAAAGAAGGGGCGCTTCTCGGAGATCATAAACCCTAAACCCTAAACCCTAAACCCTAAAGCGAGTCCGGTCGCAGAGCACCGGATAGGAGGCAGGCTGGCGGCGACAAGCCGATGGCTGCCCTCTAGAGAGGAGACGGAAAGATGGCATGGCTCCGAGTGCTTTTAGAGCTCAGGGGTTTAGGGTTTAGGCTCTCGGGTTTCAGGGCTTCAGTATTGGGTTCCTGGGTGCCTCGAAGTCACTTGAGTCTACAACCGATCGCGTGAAGATCCGGAGCCCATGAGAACAAAGCTCCGTGTCTCGTCCGGACGTCCCATCCCTGCTGTGGCCGCCAGGAAGCCAGGAGATAAGTGCGTCTCTGGACTGCAGTGTGCTTCTCAAAACCCCGCCGGGTTTAGGGTGTAGGGTTTAGGGTTTAGGGTTTAGGGAGCCAAACTTCAGCGGCACAAGATCTGCAGCAAGTTCAAGAGCGGCGCGGCTAACCCACCCAGGATCCCCTTCAACAGGAGCTTCGGGTCCGGGGCAGCCGCAGCGCAGCTTTCGAGACAACGCAGGGCTGAGGACCAACCCCCCTCAAACCCGAAGGAAGAAGCCCCTCTCTCAAATCATAGGGGCCTCTCGTGGCAAGTTTCCACACTTGGGGGAAAGGATTTTGCGGGCCAGGAGCATTTCAACTTCACTTCTGCGATCTGTTGTTGGCCAGAGATATGGCTCAAATCTGGAGGCCTCAGATGGGAAGGACTCTTCGAAGGCCCTATAGATTCCAAGGGTCGAAGGAAGATGCAGGACGGGCACACTTTAGCTTCATGCTTCTGAAGCAGGCAGGAATCCTCTGCGGCTACATCTTTGGTTGCTCACGAGCCCCCCAAGCACACTTCTTACTCAGTGATGATTTTGGCTTCAGGGGCCAAAAAAACTCTTGCTCAGGCCCCGCGGAAGGGGAAGAGGGGCCGGGAGAGTTTTTGTCAGGTCCGGCGCCAAGCAAGACGCAAAACCGGTGGCAGGCGGTGCCTCGCCAAGAAGCCTTGGGCCACGATTCTTTGCGCTCGGTTGGCTGTCGCGCCCGGTAGGGACGTGCAGTGCGTCGCTTGCTGCCGGTGGGAGCTCTTCCCTTTGCCTTGCCCCGGCGCAGACCAGCTCATCATCAGACAGAAGTGAAGCCTGTCGGGGGAGCGAAGGAAGCGCGAAGGAGGTTGCCGCGAAGCAGGTGAAAAGGAAGGGTGAGGACATCGATGCAGGGCTGAAAGCCATCGATCAGCAGTGATATCAAGCTGAGTCCATGCCCAATTGAAGCCGGCTCTTCAGAAGTCGGGGCCTTGAAGCGGTATGTCATTCTGACTTGAAGTTTGAAGCAGTCTGGGCTCAGGGCTTCTGTGTTCGGGGTTTAGAACTTTGCTGAAAGGCGGCAAAAGCCGCAGCGTTTGGCCTCGAACTTGCAATTCTATAGGGTGCTTTGAAGAAGGATCCTACGCTTTTGGGTCTATACTAAGTCGTAGGATCCAGCTTACATTCCGCAGTCGTCTGCGCATCTGAAGCTGAAGAATCCAAGCATAAGCCCAACCAGCCAATGTTAACAGAGCCTGCGGTCATAAGCCGCCTCCTGAAAGAGCTCGCGAGGGAAGGCTCGGAGAGGTGGACGATGCAGCCCCGCCAACATCCCTGCAAGCAGGCGGTCACAGGGAGACCCACATCCTCACCCTCACGTGTTGAACAGATAGGGAGATAGAGGAAGCTGAGGCGCAGAGCAGAGAGACACAGCGCCATCATCTCTTCCGCAGACATCGCTCTGTCAGATTGATGCAGGCACCATCCCTGGAGTCCAAAAGACTCACCTCTAGACCCAAACCTGGCGTTACGGAGGTTACTCTAAACTGCGTCACGCGACAGCTGCCCTTTGCAAAGACGTTCGAAGGAGGTAATGAGAAAGCCCAAAGCACCATCTCTCCCACGAACATGCCCTCTCTCTTCGGGGCGTTGAAAGGGGAGGAGATAGAAGTGAACTAGCTTGCATCCGCCTGGGGCCTGGAGAAGCTCAAGAAGCCCGCAAGCTTTGCCTTGCCTGTTGCGAGACCTTGGCCTTTGCGGCGACACTTCTGCAGCCTAAGGCCGAAAGAGTGCCTCGCCACTGTCGGCGCCTTCACCTGTTGGTGAACTCCAAGGGGAACGGCACGGGGCACAGCTGTCGCAGCAGCTCGCTTGCATCGCGTAGGCCTGCACTGTCTTCGCTGATGTCTGGAACCGGCCTGTGAATTACCGGGGCAACCGGGGAGCGCGCATCCACGGGACGTGAAGAGCGAGTTTCTGTTCAAGGAGGCAGCTCACAGCAGTTGCGCAATTCAAAGCCCGGGCCAAGAAGGGCCGTTTGCTCCTTGGCCTGGATTCATGGGCAGCCTTCTCGCACGAGGCCTCTCTACTGGTCCAGGCCGGTCTCCATGTTCAGCGAATGCCTGCACAGCGCAAAGAATGCACATGAGCGCTCAGGGTCTAGTTTAGCGTTGCGTTTCGCAGTAGTCCCGAATCTAGCTGGTGCTGGTAGCGCAAAAACACGAAGCCTGCAGACACAGGTACACGTCACCCCCCCCCCAGGCCATCGTAATCAACAAGACGACTCAGAAAACCGCATCAGACCGCATCAGAAGTCAATCCGAACTTGTACTTCTGAAGCCCTAACCCTAAACCCTAAACCCTAAACCCTAAACCCTAAACCCTAAGCCCTGACACTGAAACAGGCAGCAAACCAAATCAGCGCAAGGCATGGGTCAAGGCTCATGGCTTTATACTGAGAGTCTCTAGGCTCCAGGCTTTTCGGACTTTTGGTTCAGGGTTTGGGGTTTCGTCTAGAGTTTAGGGTTTATGGTTCAGGGTTTAGGGCTTAGGGTTTAGGGTTTAGAGTTTAGGGTTTAGTTTATAGTTCAGGGTGTACGTAAAAGATCATGGGACTTAGTAACTGAGGTAATAAATAAGGCAACTATACTTACAATTACTCATAACCCCAGTTAAGGTACTTGTATCCTTACTTACTAAGTCCCAAGATCCTCCAAGTAGAGTTTAGGGTTTAGCTTATAGTTCAGGGCTTAGGGCTCAGGGTTAAGGGTTTAGGGTTTCTGCATGCGGCTGGGGCATGTTATGATGTAAACCTCCCTTGACGTTGCAACTTAGCGTGTACATCAGAAGGACATCCTGCTCCTAGGAGACTTACTAAGCCGGTAATGCGTAGACTTACTAGAACTCCAAGAAGGACCCTAATTGGGGTTATGATACTGAAAAGTCCATGAAACGACTACTTAATAAGCCCCCCGACCCTCCAAGTAGAGGAGCGCAAGCCTCAAACTGAGCCACGAAGGCTCAGCGTCTGGCGATGGGCTCGGAGTGGTCACTTCTGCAAAAGGGGCATCACGGCCCGTTCGACGCTCTTGGGCAGAACTGCGGGAGAAAAACACTCTGGGACTGACGGTTCAGGCTTGTGTCTTGGCAAGGTGACATTACTCATCAAGTTGGTTGTTAGTCGCTGTTAGCCTGTAACTTATTTGCACTGTACACCCCGCTGAAGCCGCGTTGACAACCACGCTACAATCATGTATATACAATCATACAACTGCTCTGCTGTCGATGCTACCTATGTAGTCTTCACTGCTGCAGTCACAATCCTGGTCTAATTGATGTTGTTCTCACCACTGCATCACTGGCACGGGCAAGTCTACAAGTATTGCTATTGATCCCTGGACCCGTTGCCGCTTCCATATAAGCCAGCTATTCTTCGCTGCATGCTTCACCTGAACGCTCAAAAGTGCAATAGATGGCTGGCTTAGAGGTGCATTTTGGCATTGAAACCCACAAACACTTACCACAACAACTACTCCAACCGTTGTCTAAAGCTGGTGGCGGCCGCACCCAAAAGATAGTTCATTGCTTGCTCCGGAATTCCCTGTGAAGATGACAAGCTACATTGGCATCATCACTCCAGACAATATAGGGTAGGGGGTAAAGGCTCATTTCTGAACCCCCAGAACCCTGTGGCCTGTGAACCCCAAAGAAAAGTGTAGGAGGTCTCCAAAGAGACCCCAAAAACCCAAAGAAAAGGCGCAGGAGGTCTCTCAAGAGAGTCTTGTTTGAAGATTGAAAAGTCCTCGGCTTATGGGGTCTTGCGCCTGACGGGTGGTCACACCTCAAGTCACGAAGGGTCGAGAGTCTAGGGTGTACTTCAAGGATCATGAGACTTAGTAACTGAGGTTATAAACAAGGTAACTATACTTCTACCCCTAATTAGGGTACTTATAACTCTACTTACTAAGTCCCAAGATCCTCCAAGTAAGGTCGAGAAGAAATCACTGATTTTCCATGTGCCCGGCATCATGTCCTCGGCACCCAAGACACACGAGGGTTTAGGGTTTAGGGTTTAGGGTTTAGGGTTTAGGGTTTAGGGTTTAGGGTTTAGGGTTTAGGGTTTAGGGTTTAGGGAATTTTTGCACCTGTGGGTTACTTTGCCCATCCAACGGAAGCCCGATCGGGCTGTGCACCGTGTACATGTCTTGCGAGAATTAAAACGGGACGGCCTGCTCCAGTGCCGCAGATTTATGGCACTAAAGCAAGCTCGCTGCGGCGAGCCCGAACAGACTCTAATTGTGCACCGAATTCCTGAACCCTAAATCGTAAGGTTTGCTCAGATAAAGAAGGCTTACTGTCTTTAACTGCCGTGATTACTGTAAGGGTCAACATCAGGGTTTCTAGAAGGGCCATGATTACTGTAAGGGCTACTATAAGAGCTACACTGTAATGGTAGCCGACATTGAAGAGTGTGGCTACTTCAAAGCCTCGTCGGGTTGGAACCACATCTGCAGCTGCAGAGCATCGCCGCATCCTCCGAAGCCATCAGCCTGCATCTTCGGGCGGTCGAAAGTGTAGAGGCCGCAGAGACCTCCGGTTTCGGCTTCGGGGCGTAGAGGTCTAGGGCCAACATCCACGAGAATCAAGCCAGGTAGCATCATCGTTCTAGCAGAAGGAGTGGGAGTCGTCGTAGTAGAAGCAATAGCAGCAATAGCAGCGATGGCAGCAGTGGTGGCAGTAGTAGTAGTAGTAGTAGTAGCAGGAAAAGAAGTGGTAGTGGCAGCAATGGCTGTAATAGCAGCCCCACCTGGGCCAGAGGCATAAAACGTAGTCTCGGCTGAGCTCTTTCCTTTCCTGGGTTCTCGTTAAGGAACTTAGACTAAGTCATCATAAGAAGGAAACCTTATTATTTACTCTATATCCCTGTTGTGGTAACTCAAAACATGTTACTTAACCCTAAACCCCTACAGAACCCTTACAGCAGGAACCGGTAAAGGAACCCTAAACCCTAAACCCTAAAGGAACCCTAAACCCTAAACCCTTACAAGAAAGAGCACAGCTTCCAGCTATCAGAAGCGTTCTTGACATTGAAAACCGTGAAGCGATGCATCCAGTCCTCATCTTCTGGGCTAAGAGTTTCGGATCTAGGGTTTATGGTTTAGGATTTAGGTTTTAGGGTTTAGGGTCAAAGGTTTAGGGTTTCGGGTTTAGGGCCGTTTAGGGTTCAAGGTTTGGGGCTCAAAACTTTTGGGGCTAAAATAACTGGACGCAACGTCCCTCCCATGCCAAGGAGCCTTCCAGTATCCCACGTCCAGTCCGCAAATCTTCCCCTGGAAGTACTTCTCTGGCATCTCTTCTCCGCCGGTGTTGTGCTCCGGCAGGGGGACGAACCCTCGCCCGACGAAGTTCAGCTGGTCGATCTGATCCCCGCGGCGCCCGGCAATCGAGTGAATCGGGCCGTGATCCCTGCTTCTTATGCTTGCATAGACCCATTTCTCTCGACCGTCGTGTTTCAAGTCCATCTGGTTGTTGCCAGTAAGCCATCCAGACAAGGTTGGCAGTTGAATGAACACCGGCAGTGGATCAGGTATCAATTTGCTGGTCTCTTCTCCAGGGATCAGACGACGGATGTAAGGATACGTTGAGATCATTGGGACAAACTCTTCGATGAACATTTGCTGCATGTGGCGTTCCTTAACGTGCTCCTTAAACTTGTCCGTGAGTATACCATAGGGCCATTCATCATTTTTGGCCTTCTCTGTCTTCCAGGTCTGCTCGAAACCTGCAAATGGCTTATGGTTTACGGCTTAATGAAGGAATCTCAGGCACAACAAAAGAAGTACTACTCCTCCTGCTGCTGCTGCCGCTACA